CCCCAAAACCCCAAAACCCCAAAACCCCTTTAAGATGGATTAACACTGATAATTAGAAATGTTCTTTTTAAAATATAACTATTAATAATGAAAAGTATTCAGATTTTGATTGCCTGTTTAACTTTCTATGGCCTGCTCGGAATCTCTAATTAGCTGAGCATCATGAATTTTATTGATGGAATCGAAATGAATTTGAATAGCTACCTAGAGGTGCAGAACCTTAATCAAGCCTCATATTTGAATTAAGAATCTACAATGCTCAAATAAACTCTTTCAGTTGATATAGTAATACCTAATTATCCATAATTTACCAAATTCATTTTGTTTCTACATTTTATTAAACCCCATTAATAGACGAGTCTTTATAGAAACAACTTTTTCGATGTATTTGTTTTTGAAAGGATAGAAGAAGGCAAGGATAGTCCAGACTTTCTATGCTATAAAGAGGCAGTCGATAATTAAATTTGGGATAAGGACTGTTCGTTTCTGCACTCTATCACTAACAAGACTACCTAAGTCCTGCTGAATTAGCAATCTTATGAGGCGGTCATCAAAACACTTGAGGAGTCGAATGATCTGGACAAACATATTGTAATAGACAATACACCGTACCCACCCAAAGGAATTAACCGTAATTATACTTTATAAATGCTCATGTTTATTTTTAGCCAAGTCAGCATTCACACTTATGATACAGACTAGAACAGATTTCAAAAACCCAGTCAACATCAAATCAATAGTCATCATAGGTAAATATTTAGTTTAAAACTTTAAAGAGGGTATGGTATGCCTAGTTGTGTTATTTGCCTGCGGAATGGCGTTTTATTTATGTTTCAAAGTTAAGTAAAGCAGTAAAAGAATCCAGAAGTATAAGTAGATATTGCATGAGAACCGAATGCAGGATATTTAGAGAATGCAAACAACAGAAAATGAAAACTATGAATAAGTAGATCTGCACACTGACTGAGATTAGTTCATTAAAAATCGGAATATTTAGCCTATAGCTTTGTAAATTTGAATTAGACTATTATATAAGCTAGTTATAGTTTTGTAAATATAGTTAAAGTTTTCTTAAATAAAAATCAAATAAATCAATTCTAGCCTTTTCATTGTCTAGTTGGTGATCTGATTGGGGAGCTCTCTCTAACTTCTTTACCAACAAGGGTCTTTTGCATAGCGATCTTCTCACTAAACTTCTTGAGTGGGTCTTTTCTCTCCATCTTGTCTAGCTCAGCTGGGGTGTACTGATCTAGGAATTCATCAATGGACAAATAGCCACCACCAACACGGACTATAAAATAATTATACAATTTTCAGAATATTCTTACTGTTGATCTTATCTTTGTCGACTCTGACGGCAACTCTCTTGGAACCGAATTGATAGACACCCTCGCTCTCTCTGAGGAACATAATCTTGAGTTTCTGTCTGTCAGGGTAGTTGTTGATGAACTCAGCAAGTTTCTTGTCAATGACATCATCCTTAACTGGGATATACACTGCGATTCTTTGCTTCAATTCAATGATGTAGTTCTTGAGTGTTTCAATTTCAATCTCAGCATCTTTCAATTATCTCAATAACTCTAAAGATGTTTTGTTGGCCTTGTAAACCTTATCCTCAAGAGCTAGAATGTAATCGGAGGCAGTCTCAAGTTCCTTTTGTAACTTTAGCTTTTGGTTGTATAGGGCCTCATTAAGTTGGTTAGCATGAGCTAGTTAATCAGCAATGTCGATATTAACTCTAATGATCTACTCCTATTCTCTAATCTTGGCCAAGCATTGGAGGTTGGTCTCTCTCAGAGCTATAATATAAATTTTATAACAATAATTGCTTCTTACTGTGAATCTCGACTTCTCTTTCGTTAAGGAGGCCATTGGCTCTGTGGAGATCCTCTCTGAGTCTCTTGTTTTCCTCAATGAGTTTATCTTAGAACTCCTTGTTCTTGGTGGCTTCAATCTAGATTTGCACAGCAGTCTCTCTAATATGGGTCTGGAGTTCAACTCTCTTTATCTCAGAGTTCTAGGTAATAGTGTTGGCATTTTGAGCATCTAGTTCAAGGTCTCTAATGATCTATTAAGCGTTATTAGATTTTATTTGGAGAAAGATATCACATACCTCAACTTTCTGATTGAGAGCAATCACAGTGGTCTTTAAGTGCTCAATCTCAACCTCCTTTTCTGAGAGTCCTCTAAGGAGATCCTTGTCCATAAGAACAAAGTCTTGTCTTGAGTTATCTATGGATAATTATATATTTGTCTTATTCGTACCATTATTGTTGATAGTTTGAGATCTTCTGGTAGGAGATGCAGTCTTGGATTTGTTAGTTGACATATCTTAAATAAAATAAAGTTTATTAAAGTTCTTTTATTAGAATTTTCATTTATTTCCTATAACTTTTCAACCTTACCACATGGGGTTTTGGGGTTTTGGGGTTTTGGGGTTTTGGGGTTTTGGGG